CTAGCTGAACAGATTCACACCACAACAGTACACCATTGTCCAGTTGTTATTAAACAACTGACAGTGACGTCAATGACGAGGGCTGTCACACTTGCTTACTGTGGTTTACTGCACAAATGTACATGAACAAAATGGATAATAAAGAAATTATTACACTCGCAAGTGTGCCATAAGACATATACAAAATTTCACACTCGTTTTATTTAAGTCATATGCCACACTCACTTGTGCAATAATATCTATATACTACATGTAGTAGTATTGAGTAGGGCCTCAAACCAAGCATCGCAATCTGAGTTTGTCAGGCCATGTAACTCATCAGTTTGGGAGCACTTACTGTGGACTTAGCAGCATTCAATGACTGCCACCTCTTTCATCTGCTGCTAATGTGCATCATCCATTCATTGGTGCATGTTGTTATCAGGGAAACTGACAGCCAGAGTCACTATATTCCAAACCAAATGTAAGAGCATGCATGAGACACTGATACACTGTGAATAAGATATTGGAGGAGAATATATATTGGTGGCAAATCAATTAGTAATGAAGCAGGGGACTCTCACTTCCTGAATGATTTACATATGGCAGTCAGCAAACCTGCTGGTTGCATGCAGTATACTCTGACAGTTCCCAATACACAACACACATTACAGAGTCCTTCATAGCAGCTCCCAATACACAACCCTCTATACAGTCCTGCATAGCAGCTCCCAATACACCACAACACACTATACAGTCCTTCATAGCAGCTCCCAATACACCACAACACACTATACAGTCCTTCATAGCAGCTCCCAATACACAACACACTATACAGTCTTGCATAGCAGCTCCCAATACACCACAACACACTAACACACTATACAGTCCTTCATAGCAGCTCCCAATACACTACACAAACACACTATACAGTCCTTCATAGCAGCTCCCAATACACCACAACACACTATACAGTCCTTCATAGCAGCTCCCAATACACCACAACACACTATACAGTCCTTCATAGCAGCTCCCAATACACCACAACACACTATACAGTCCTTCATAGCAGCTCCCAATACACCACAACACACTATACAGTCCTTCATAGCAGCTCCCAATACACCACAACACACTATACAGTCCTTCATAGCAGCTCTCAATACACAACACACTGTACAGTCCTTCATAGCAGCTCCCAATACACCACAACACACTACACAGTCCTTCATAACAGCTCCCTATACACCACAACACACTATACAGTCCTGCATAGCAGCTCCCAATACACCACAACACACTATACAGTCCTTCATAGCAGCTCCCAATACACCACAACACACTATACAGTCCTGCATAGCAGCTCCCAATACACCACAACACACTATACAGTCCTTCATAGCAGCTCCCAATACACCACAGCACACTATACAGTCCTTCATAGCAGCTCCCAATACACCACAACACACTATACAGTCCTTCAGAGCAGCTCCCTATACACCACAACACACTATACAGTCCTTCATAGCAGCTCCCAATACACCACAACACACTATACAGTCCTTCATAGCAGCTCCCAATACACCACAACACACTATACAGTCCTTCATAGCAGCTCCCAATACACCACAACACACTATACAGTCCTGCATAGCAGCTCCCAATACACCACAACACACTATACAGTCCTTCATAGCAGCTCCCAATACACCACAACACACTATACAGTCCTTCATAGCAGCTCCCAATACACCACAACACACTATACAGTCCTTCATAGCATCTCCCAATACACAACACACTATACAGTCCTTCATAGCAGCTCCCAATACACCACAACACACTACACAGTCCTTCATAGCAGCTCCCAATACACCACAACACACTATACAGTCCTTCATAGCAGCTCCCAATACACCACAACACACTATACAGTCCTTCATAGCAGCTCCCAATACACCACAACACACTATACAGTCCTGCATAGCAGCTCCCAATACACCACAACACACTATACAGTCCTTCATAGCAGCTCCCAATACACCACAACACACTATACAGTCCTTCATAGCAGCTCCCAATACACCACAACCAGTCATATGGATTCATTCGTAAGACCTCAGGGCGGTGGGATAGCCTTGTAGTTAAAGTGTTCACCTGTCATGCCGAAGGCCCAGGTTTGATTCCCCACATGGGCACAATGTGTGAAGCCCATTTCTGGTGTCCCCTGCTGTGATATTGCTGGAATATTGCTAAAAGCAGCGTAAAACTAAACTCACTTACTCGTAAGAACTCATATTTCACCAAACTGTTGTGACAAAGTGGCAGCCCTTCCAATACGTGGTTCATCCAAATATCCATGACCCAGTATTTGTAGGGTACATGTGCATGTATGCGTGATTTTCTTGCTCCTGTGGTCGACAATCTTCAAATGTCTACACATTAACCTTTTCTTTGAAAAAAAGAACATTTTTGGCATACTACAGTTCTGCATTTAACAGATCCGGGAAGTTGTGAAAACACTCCTCCACTAACAACAACATTACAGTGGTTGACATGAAGCCATTCCTCCTGCAACTCCAGCAGGGATGTTGTTGATGTAAGCTGCTAGATAAGCAGCACATACATAACACAGAGCTACCTGACGTAACACAACATGTATAAGCTAATTAGTGCAGGTCTTATGAATGTGTGCATCACTATGTAACTTGAACATTCAGCACTGGCTAGTTGGACATCCATGAACACTGCAAGAGGAAAATGGTGTATTGCTTGAGTCTCACTGCTTAGTCCATGCAAGAAACCATGCATACATTGGTTTTGAGACATCTTCTAAACTAGAGTGGAATGAGATGTCTCCATATGCTTTATAACTAAATGAACAGGTGTTTACATACAGCTGATGAACCTTTTAAGGGTTGAACTTGAAGAACTAATGGGCTGTTTCTCTATTCTGGATTTCAACAAAGCTGTTACGCCTTCAATACAGTATAAGTATCTGTACCGAAACGTTGCTATTGTACAATAAAGAAGTTTATCATCCATAAGACTTGTCATTCCTGGAAATAATCCTGTTAGTCCCTGTATAGATTCCTGGTTAGCATTGGTCATACGCTGGTGAAGAGATGACCAACTGGAGCAGGTGGTCAGTTTCAGAGGCCTTAATTGATTAACTGATACAATATATGGATGCTCATATATTAAATATCCGATTGTCGGGACCGGATTATTTACACCAGTAGGTAGTTTGAACATAAAAATTATTGAGGACATTTTGAGCTTTTAAACATATAAGGAACAGTTAAAGTACAACAATTTGATCAAGCCATATGTTCAAAGGAAGTAACATGCCAACCAAATTTCAGCTTTTTCTGTACTGAAATTACATTGATAACAGCACTCATTTTTCTAAGTGCATTTAGAGCATGGTCATGGAGACATGGTAAAATGATAGCCAGTATTCACGATAATAGTGGGAAAGGAACATGTACCTAAACCTCATCACATAAATTACCATAAGATGGGTTTTCAATATTGTATGTAGTTACCATGGCTACAGTACATTGCCTCTGTTGGCTGGATGATAATTTTTACAACAGAAATTATAAGCTTGGGCAGTGATATTCTAAACATTTCTCCCAACTTTGTTCCAATCTTAACCATCATTGTAAGCCAAGAGTCTCATGGACATACAGATTCAGCAAGTGGCTTCCACTCCGACATGTGTGTAACAGGTAAACTGATATTCATCATCATTCCATGCTTTAAACTCTCTGAGCATGCTCTCCCTTGGGGTAGCCACTGAACAAAGAGAATTCTCACAGGTAATATTACGTACAGTCAGCACTTCTGCTTGAAACCTCATTCTCAATCCTTATCAAATATGTAGGTTGTCAAAATTGCTTCTCAGAATAAACTGTGGAGAAAACAGGGCATGAAAATAGGTTGTCGATTGACAGTAACTCAATATATAGGCAAACAGCCTTTTGACAAAGCACTTTTGAAAAGCCTCTTGCAGACAATATCTGCTTTAAAGTGAGGGAGTGTGCGGCAGTACAAAACTTCAGTGTGATCTGGGCCTCTTGTCACAGTACATAGTGAGCTAGTTATTGGTCAGGTCAAGCTGAGTGATATACACCCAGCTTCCAAGTATATGTGAACTAATTGACCCTGTTAATCTAACTACTTCATGTATACTGTGAACACACAGGGCCACTGTAGTGAGTCCAGCAGGGTAGCAGTGGCAATGGTCTGGAAAGAAAGGTGGTAGCAATTTGTCAAACTTTCCATGCTCCATTGCAGTGTTTGACAGCTCAGTGTGGGGCTTACTCCTATGAACAGGTTTAACATGCATGGTTTGATAAACCCCCACATCTCATGGTGAAATAGTTAAGGAAAGCATTCAAGTTATACACGTTATATGAGACTGGCTTTAATGTAATATGCCCACAACAACCATCCATTATATCAGCTCAGTTGTACTGCAATTCCTCTAGTTGCACTTTCTTCTGAGGCGTCATCTTGGCGTCCCAGATGACAAGTATTCTGTCCATCTTGTGATATCTCTTACATAAATACTTCTACATAACACTAAATCTGAGCGAGGCGTTGCTAGTTATTGTTCTTGAATGAAAACATAACAGTGTGTCAACATGCCGTTTTGAGCGCATACCTGCACTTAACACAACTAAGCTCGGATAACAATATACTCAACCTGGAAGTTGGTATGAAAAACAAGTCACTGAATACCTCGCTATAACGCCTGCTGTGTCGTCTGCTCCACACAGGACAATAACGCGAAGTCAGCAGACGAACTGTCAAACTGACTCTGCGTTGCTAGAATTCCAATAGATACACAAAGATATCTATTGATATAGATAACTGTATGAAATTCCTCAATGAATCATTTTGTTACACCAAAGAACAATTCAAGTCGTGAATGATAAAGTGAAATTCTGCCATTGTACAACACAGAAAACAATGCATACATGTTGCCACTGAAAAGCAAACAAAATACTCACAAGATCCTAGTATCCGAGGGAATTTGGGGGATCTGCTCTAATTGCAGAAACATACACCTGACGGTCGTACGAAAACACAGACACCGGTGAGGACAGGCAGATGTCCCTTCCAGTATGGTCATGAGATATATAACAAAATAAATCACACCCCTCCACATATTGATAACGGTATATGTCCTGCTCGCGCAGTGCGCGTGGTGTGTACTGCTACCGCACGGGCTTATTGTTTTGGTGGGGAAGCACCCCTCTCGGCTTCTCGCGCGCCGAGTCGTACCGCTAGAAAATGTAGTTCATCGTGTAAAGTTACTTTATATTGTTAGCCAAGACTCGTCACGCCAATGAACACCAGCTACCATATTGATAGAATCATGCGAAGCCATATGTTCTGCACGTTATGTTTCAATAACAAAATAAAAAGTTTGTAATCGCGCGGAGGGATATGTGTGCTACCAAATGTTTGACCTGATACGTGATTTCCCTTCAATTTTGCGGGACAAAGATTCTTTTATTATTGGAGCAATTATCAGAAACACGATATAGGAAATATACAATAGGCGTCAGCCTTCTCAAAGAAGAGCAATTGCTGCAAAGTAACTCTATGCGTGTCTAACAGCCAAGGGTGATATCGTGTATAACGCCTGGAGACTTTAAACAATTTACGACACAAAGATCAATTGAAAGAGATACACACAATAATGTGAAACATTACGTAACAAATGTTGCTTTATGATGCAGTCCTTTCTAAAACTGAAAACGTTATGTATATGGTCACAGGCCCAGTACATAATGAACGCCAATAACCAGATACTGTACGTGCCTGCCCGTCTACCTTACACCAAAGAAAATTCCTAAATTACAGTTTGAGATTTCTTGTAAATTGTTTACGTTTTATTTTGTTAGGCATTCTACATTGCAACTTATTTCTTGTCTGTGTATGGAAACCTTTGAACACTGTTACACGTTCATGACCAACCCAGCTGAAGCCAGGATCCGAAGACCTTACGTATGTGTTTCCGTAAGTCACTGATATCAGTACGAATTAATGTTGTTGTTATTCATTTGCTTTATAAACGTCGCACGCACAACTAAGGTATTTCGGCGACGGGTCCATGGATCGGCAATATCATCCGAATTGTTTGACTGATCGAATGTCTCTACTTCTAATTTCTGCACGTTCACCTATTCTCTTGTTTATTGGTCAGCGCGGCCTTGTAGTGCTTCTTTATCATGTCAATACCTTTGTTCATTACGCCTTGAGTAATGGTAACGGAACAAGAAGTTTATCTGTCGTGCAATAACAAATCAGACAATAGGCTTGGGGTAGAGAAAATGAACAAAGCCATTCATCAAATAATTACACTTTGTTTTTCACCTTGGTGATGCCAAATTTTGGAGAACAAAATCTTCTTTTAGCAGTTTATAATGGGCGTATCTTTATATATATCAACTGTGTAATCCATGTTTCGCCACTCCGTATCCTATAAACCGGACGGATGTAGGACGTTATATATGTTGCTGGAATGTGAGAGAAGAGGGTCAGTAGCATACTGTGGGCAGATGAATACACTCATGTCGTGTGATGGAGAGAGGAGGAGGCGTTCGCGAATGGCAAGCATTACCTATCTACCATGGGAAACAACAAGCGTTTCACGCAAACGTCACCGTCCCGCCAAACATACCCAAGATGTTTTGTTTTCTGTTCTCAGACAGCCAAATGTTCACATGTTCACGTTTCTTGTACCTTTGCCGTGGAAGCAGGGATATTGTATTCCCCTCTCAAAGTCCAAGGGCGATGGAATTACGGGAACTACTGATTTGGAAAATGTCAAATGTCATTCCAAAAAATCATAGCCTCCTTACTCAACACACTTAAAAAGCGTGTATTCGTAGCAGAATATGGGGTAGAGCAACATCCAGCAGTGCCCCGGAAACCTTGGGTTGACGTGAGAGTGTATTCCATCTCATGTAGCCCCCCAGCCTGTATTTCTACAGCTGATGGAGAGTGTCAAGACGCGATGTGCCCTTGGCCGCAGCAACTGCAGGTCTTGCACAGCCTTCTAACTACATAAATGTGTGTAGTGCCTTCAAGAAGGAGGGAGAACCAACACGTTAAACAAGACAAGAGTCCGCAAGTCGGTCATTACTTGTACAATGGTAGAGTGGGTGAGTTTAGATTTACGCCGCACTCAGCAATATTCCAGCTGTATGGTGGCGGTCTGTAAATAATCGAGTCTGGACCAGACAATCCAGTGATCAACAGCATGAGCCTCGATTTGCGCAATTTGTAAACCAATGACATGCGTCAACCAAGCCAGCGAGCCTGACCACCCGATCCCGTTCGTCGCCTCTTACGACAAGCATGGGTTACTAAAGGCTCATTCTAACCCGGACCTTCACGGGTAAAATACAATGGTAGAAGATCACCCAGTGTAGTCGACAGTTCAAACACATGCACACAACATTGTTCTGCATTCGCACACAACATATCGATCCCCTTTGCTAGCAAATGGGTTCGCCTCACACTAAACGCCGGCAACCAGGGACGTTATGTCACATGCAGAACTTTCTGAAGAAATTCCCAGTCAGAAGAAATCTCCGGTAGCCATTAATTGTTTGTTAAGTCCGCGATTGGGGATCGACTGGTTGCTGTGTACTGTACCTCGATAAAGTCTTTTGCTGTTCATGTTGCCACTCGGCTGTATGAACCACACTCCATTATATACAGACTGACGGGATGTATGAACCACGCTCCATTATATGCATACTGACGTGATGTATGAACCACACTCCATTATATACAGACTGACGTGATGTATGAACCACGCTCCATCATATACAGACCGACGTGATGTATGAACCACACTCCATTATATACAGACTGACGTGATGTATGAACCACACTCCATCATATACAGACTGACGTGATGTATGAACCACACTCCATTATATACAGACTGACGTGATGTATGAACCACACTCCATTATATACAGACCGACGTGATGTATGAACCACACTCCATTATATACAGACTGACGTGATGTATGAACCACTCCATTATATACAGACTGACGTGATGTATGAACCACACTCCATTATATACAGACTGACGAACCACACTGATGTATGAACCACACTCCATTATATACAGACCGACGTGATGTATGAACCACAGTCCATTATATACAGACTGACGTGATGTATGAACCACACTCCATTATATGTATGAACCGACGTGTGATGTATGAACCACACTCCATTATATACAGACCGACGTGATGGGATATGCAGACGTGATGTATGAACCACACTCCGTTATATACAGACTGACGTGATGTATGAACCACACTCCATTATATACAGACCGACGTGATGTATGAACCACACTCCATTACGTGATGTATGAACCACACTCCATTATATACAGACTGACGTGATGTATGAACCACACTCCATCATATATACAGACTGACGTGATGTATGAACCACACTCCATTATATACAGACCGACGTGATGTATGAACCACACTCCATTATATACAGACTGACGTGATGTATGAACCACACTCCATTATATACAGACCGACGTGATGTATGAACCACACTCCATTATATACAGACTGACGTGATGTATGAACCACACTCCATTATATACAGACCGACGTGATGTATGAACCACACAGTCCATTATATACAGACCGACGTGATGTATGAACCACACTCCATTATATACAGACTGACGTGATGTATGAACCACACTCCATTATATACAGACTGACGTGATGTATGAACCACACTCCATTATATACAGACTGACGTGATGTATGAACCACACTCCATTATATACAGACTGACGTGATGTATGAACCACACTCCATTATATACAGACTGACGTGATGTATGAACCACACTCCATCATATACAGACTGACGTGATGTATGAACCACACTCCATTATATACAGACTGGCGTGATGTATGAACCACGCTCCATCATATACAGACCGACGTGATGTATGAACCACACTCCATCATATACAGACTGACGTGATGTATGAACCACACTCCATCATATACAGACTGACGTGATGTATGAACCACACTCCATCATATACAGACTGACGTGATGTATGAACCACACTCCATTATATACAGACTGACGTGATGTATGAACCACGCTCCATTATATACAGACTGACGTGATGTATGAACCACACTCCATCATATACAGACCGACGTGATGTATGAACCACGTGATGAACCATTATATACACGACCGACGTGATGACTATGATGTAACCACACTCCGTTATATGCAGACTGACGTGATGTATGAACCACACTCCATCATACAGACTGACGTGATGTATGAACCACACTCCATTATATACAGACTGACGTGATGTATGAACCACACTCCATTATATGCAGACTGACGTGATGTATGAACCACACTCCATTATATGCAGACTGACGTGATGTATGAACCACACTCCATTATATGCAGACTGACGTGATGTATGAACCACACTCCATTATATGCAGACTGACGTGATGTATGAACCACACTCCATTATATACAGACTGACGTGATGTATGAACCACACTCCATTATATACAGACCGACGTGATGATGTATGAACCATGAACCACACTCCATTATATACAGACTGACGTGATGTATGAACCACACTCCATTATATACAGACTGACGTGATGTATGAACCACACTCCATTATATGCAGACTGACGTGATGTATGAACCACACTCCATTATATACAGACTGACGTGATGTATGAACCACACTCCATTATATACAGACTGACGTGATGTATGAACCACACTCCATTATATACAGACCGACGTGATGTATGAACCACACTCCATTATATACAGACTGACGTGATGTATGAACCACACTCCGTTATATGCAGACTGGCGTGATGTATGAACCACACTCCATTATATACAGACTGACGTGATGTATGAACCACACTCCATTATATACAGACTGACGTGATGTATGAACCACACTCCGTTATATACAGACTGACGTGATGTATGAACCACATTCCGTTATATACAGACCGACGTGATGTATGAACCACACTCCATTATATGCAGACTGGCGTGATGTATGAACCACACTCCATTATATACAGACTGACGTGATGTATGAACCACACTCCATTATATGCAGACTGACGTGATGTATGAACCACGCTCCATCATATACAGACTGACGTGATGTATG